TCTTTTTTTTTTTTTTTTTTTTTTGAGACAGGGTCTCACTATGTGGTTCAGGGTGGCCTGAACTTGCCTTGGCCTCCTGAGAGCTGGAGTTACAAGCGTGTGCCACCACAACCGGCTTGTCTTTTTAGTTGGACTACATCCTCAAGGAATTTCCCCAGAAAGAATACATGGAAGATAAAAGATTTTACTCTGCTCTCATCCTTGATGGAGAGTTTGTCTTCTAAGTTGAAAATCATTTTTTCTCAAAACTTTAAGGCAAATGTTCCAATGACTTCCAGCTTTGAGTGTTGTTTGCGATGCCTTTGATGTTCATTCCTGTGTTTTGTTCCTTGACTCAATGATTATCACAAAGAGGCACATTCCTTTACCATCCCATAAGCCCCCCCCTTACATCTTCTTCCAACTGTTACCCTCCTGTCCACCAAGGATAATTACTTCCGATTTTCATGATAATCATTTCCTTACCTTTACTGTCTAAACATGTATCCTTATATGGAACCTCTATCATTTATTTTGCCTGGCTTCTTTCACACAACATTCTATTTATGAAATTCATCCACATTCTGTGTATCTTTAATTTATTCTGTGTCAATGCTGTAATATTTCTTTGCATGACACACAATGTTGACGATAGTTTCACTATTTTTAGTGTTCAGGTGATTGCAAAAAAGTCATAAACATTCTTGTACATGGTTCTAGGTGCCCTATGCATTCTTTTTTTTTTTTTGTACTGGGGATCAAACTCAGGTCCTTGTGCTTGCGAAGCAGGTGGTGGCACCACTGAGCTAAATCCCCAGCCCCTAAGCATTCATTTTTGAGGAGTAGATAGCTAAGAGTGAGAACGCATATATTATATTTTGGCAGAGAATACCAAACTCTTTCTCAGAGTGATTCTGTCAAGGTCCACGAGCAGTGCACGGAAGGTTCACCTCTGGGAGCCATATATGAGCTATTCTGTGTCTTTACCGACTCTTGATGTCATGAACAGTTTAATTTATAACCATTACTGATTGTGCAGTGGTATTCCACTGTAGAACATAATTGTAATTTGCATTTCCTTGATGAATAATGATGGTAAGCATATTTTCCTATGTTTATTAGTTATTCGGAAAGCCTTGTTTTATGGCAACCTATTTTATATTTGGTTGTCTCTGATATCTTAGTGATTAGAATTCTTTATATATTCTGAATAAGAGACTTTTACCAGTCATATGCTTGTCGCTCAGTATCCATGGGGGACTAGACACCAGGACCCAGTATCCCTCAGACACCAAAACCCCTTATTATAAACTAATGTAGAGTTTGCATATCTTCCCATACACTTTAAATCATCTTTGTATTTCTCATAATATCTACTACAATACAAATGCTATGTAAATAGCTGTAGTAATATACTGTTTAGGGACTAACGATAGGAAAAAAGTCTGTACATGCTTAGTACAGATGCAATTATTTTTTCTGAGTATCTCTGATCTGCAGAATCCCAGGATATGAAAGATGGACCATGTGTCTTCTCACACACTATGGCTGTCTTTTCAAGTTCTTGATGATTTTTTTAAACAGACGTTTTTAATTTTTATACAAATATACTAATATTTTATTTTATTTTTTTTTGTACTCAGGATCAAACTCATTTAATGTCTTGTTTAAAGAAATCCTCTATCCCAAAGATCATGAGGAACATCCTTATATATTATCTTAAAGAAGCTTTACTTTTTGCCTTAGACATTTAGAAGAATTTAATTGAGAAAGACTTTTGTGTTAATGTGTACAATAGAGTCAAATTTCACTGCTTTCCACATGACTATCCAGATGTCCATGTATTTAAAAGACTATCCTTTCCCCACTGCTCTGTAAGCCACCACCATCATAAACCAGAAGCCCATCTATGTTAGGTGTGGTGGCATATACCTGTAATCCCAGCCCTCTGGGAGGCTGAGGCAAGATCACAAGTTTAAGCCTAGCTTTGACAACCTAGCAAGACCCTGACACAAAAAAGAAAAAGAAAAAGGAAAAGAAAAAAATACAGTTCAGTGTGAAGGCTGTGGATTCCAACTCTAGTACCCACCCCCCAAAGGCGAAGGAATATAAGGACGAGGAGGAAGAGGAGGAGAAAAAGGAGGAGGAAGAAGAGGAGGAAGCCAATTTGTGTGGGGTACTGTTTCCATATTCTTTATGGGATTCCACCAGACTACTGTCTCTCGTTGTATCCAATCTGTACCAGCTCATCACCATGGCTTCCTGATGAAGTCTTCATATCTGGTAGAGTGAGGTCTCCTCTGTTTTTCTTAAAGGGTGGCTTCATCATTCTTGGAATTTTATTTTTATGTATATATTTTAGAATCAGTTTGTTAATTCACTTTTTGAAAAAGACTTTAGATTTACGTTTCAGTCAACTGGCAAGTTTTAAGTCATACTTTTACAGTATTTATACTAACTCAAGAACATGATATATCCTACCATTAAGTTTATTTTTCCAATAT